GGGCATACTCATCAGATCACAGCTCTGATCTCAGGCACTCGACCCCACGAGCCAGAGGGCTGCTACAGACGCATGTCCCACATTCCTACGCCCAACAACTCACGCAATCTGCAAGGGGCAATAAATCTGTCCATCAGCTTGGGGTCCTGGATTTGTGCACACAGCAATGCATAGCCGGGAGGACGCAGCGGCTCGTGCCAGCAGCTGGCAGGCTATGACATCCCTCCTCAAGTCATCCCCAGTAACTGCTCTGTTCCTGGCAGGAGGTGCCTGCGCTGCAGATAAGCTCTCAAGTCACAGCACATATGACGCACTGTTAAATACTTCCCTTAACCCACGCTTGTAGATCACTTGCCAAAGGTACTCTAGCCACAGTCTCAAATGGGCTCAATTTTTGTAGGGAATACAGTATCGGGGGAAAAAAAAGGGGATTCTGGAACAAAGAGAAAGCGGTTTAGTGAAATATACTGCAAATTAACTTCCTCTGACCTTCTAGGCCTGAGTGGCTGGTGGGGGTCTTGGAGGCAGGGGGAAAGAAAAGGCTGGTAGAGTAGAAAGTTATTAGGTCCACACTTCATACTGTGTTTGGCACTCCAAAGTGCGCTGTACAGTTGCCAAATAATGTAACCTTGCAACCCTTTAGATTACAAGAGTCTGGTTTCAGGAGAGCAATAGAGAAATTGAGAGATCCAGATATATTACTTTATATATGGGTCACAGCGATGGCAGTCAATTAAAATCAAATGCCCCAGGTGACATCTGTAATGCAGATATTCTGCACCAAYTGAGAGTCAGAAATCCTGCTTCCTGGTATTTCTCTCTATAGTATGAGAGACAGCACTTTTTAGCAAAAAGAAAAAAAAAAAAAGAACAAGGTCCCTATGCTCTTGATTATATTGGGATCAATCTGGAGCAGCTCTACTGTAGTTAGTGTAAATTGCCTCAGATTTGCACTACTGAGAYTTGGCCCAAATTTATGGTAGCTCACTCTCAACATATTCCCTAACTGAATAACAAGACAAAACACTGTCTGAATTGGAAGTAAGGCATTTGAAAGACTGACTGTGGTTTAAATTTAAATCTGACTCATAATGGGGTAATATGTTCCATAGCATCTTCTTTCTTATACCTCCAAGTGAAGAAAGAAACCCTTAAAAAAAATGCTGGGGTTAACGCTGTCTGGAGCGTAGGCGGCTCTTACTCTTTGGCCCTGCCTGAACACAGCAGGAGCAGTTGGAGGGACCAGGATCTCCTGATGCAGAGGGAGCAAAGTCCTACTCCTGCTTTCCTCAAATCCTTCACAGGAACGTGATGTCCCCCTGGGCTTTAACCTGGGTGCTGCACATTTAATCTGGATCAGCTCTCTCTTCCTCTAATGTTTCATGTAGTGCATTCCATTGCTTCGCAGTGTATCAGGTACCCACACAGCCTCAGATAGGGACAACAACAAAGACCAGTGCTTCAGCTGCATTTTTCTTGATGCKTTATGATGTGTTACCAAAACATGGCACCGTTTCCATAGGAGGCAATTATTACTTGCTATTGTTTGACAATCTGTACATAATAAAACTACCTTAAAAACAATACCACAACACTCGCTGAGCAACTGGTTTTCACTCTCCCAGGGTTTTCAATTGTGCAGCTTTGCGGTGATACCTATTCATTTTTTGGAATGCTTATTCATAAAAGACAAGCTTTTTCTGAAGGGTGCAGGAACTTTATTCATAAATACAGAAGCACCTTAATAAAAGAAAGATGTGATGAAGCCTTCAAAGCAGGCAAGAAAAATGATGAACAAAGACATTCTCATAACAACTGAGCTTTATCTGATCAAATTCCAATAAAGCCTGCATTTGGCATAAATCTTTAAAAACATAGCAAGGACCACTGGAGGATGCTAAAACTTGTTTATTTAATATTATTCCTCCTCCTTTCCCCCAAAGTACTTTATCCTCTCAATATTTTCCGAAGACTTCGTGTATGTTAAAATGCGCATCGAGTGAACACACTTGAATGGAAGCACAGGAAGAGGAGCACAGAGGAGCTCCGTGTCTGAGCCTCTGCCGCCTCGCTTCCTTCCAGCTCCCCACTCTCCAAAGTGCTGATGAACTGTAACTGTGGTGAACATATTAACCCTCACTTCCACGGAAAAGGAGCACGAGGAAGGATATTTAGGGCCCTTAATAAATGTGGTTCTCTGCGGCTTCACTTACCAGAGCCAAGAAAAGAGAGCAGCTTTTGTTTCTATCTTATAAAAGAAACAATTCCTACTTCTTTGAGTTTTCTTTTATTATATTCCATCATAAGAACGCTTAATATGCACRCTGGGCTTCCCATCTGTACAGGAACACACAGATGTTGGCAGACTAATCCTTAAATACCAAGGATAGCATTCTTGGTGAAAACAGACATTAAAGGAAACCGTTTCCATGCTCAGGGATTACCAGGCACCCAGTGGCTTCCGTGGACTATTCAAGACATGACACTGGAGTGCAGCATGTTGTACGATGCTGTCAAGGGCCCTGTTGGACACCATGGAGAGGTTACAACAGATACAGGTGGGAACGGGGTCCTTCTGTTCCTGTTCCAGGGCCTCAGTAACATGGCCCAAACTGCCTTACAGGAGTCTGTGCAAACAAGGCTGTAGGAAAACACCAAGTCCTTTTCTGATGTGGTTTGGAAAAAAGAGCCAAGTGTTAGCCCTGGGGAAGCTTAGACAACAAGGTGCAGTCTTTATTTATTTATTTATTCATTTATTCCAGCAATTTAAGAGCTAGGTCTGTAAGGTCAGAGGACCACATGAGGAAAAAAAAAAAAAAAAAGCATTAGAGAAATACGTGTATTTTGTTCGCTTTTCCTCTCTAGCCATTCCTAAAATGGTTCTTCAAAGTACTATTGTCTTTTTGGTATCACTGGAGCATAACAGTATTAATTTGCCACTGGAATCAGAATCAGAGAGCTCCAGGGGAGCAGTTAATGAGATTTGCATGTGTTCAGGAAGGGCTGCTTTCCCAAGGAAGGGGAGAACAGGTGAGACCCTACCCTCCCTAGATGACTTCTGCCCCTCTTTATGCTTGACAGAGGAAGAGGAGGGGACCCAGGAACAATCATTTCCTGAAACGAGTATGAGAGGAATTTGAAAAACCCTCATCAAGTTGATAGTAGATCTTGAACAAAACAAAACACTAAGCAACCCAGAACTCAGTGGGAGAAAAAAAAAAAAGAAGTTAGTAATTAAGTGTTGATTATACAAGAAGAAAACATTTACATAGCTCCTTCTGGACATAGCACTGGCAAACCCAGCCAGCACAACTCAGCAGAGGACAAAAATCAGTGTTTATGCACTGAGGAGGAACATCAGGCACACATGCCAACTCTGCTAGCCATCTCCTCTGTGAGGCTGTGTCCAGGCATGGCTCCAAATACTGGAAGCACAGAAGTTTGAGAATTTTTTCAACCCCCAGAGAATGTATTTGCCTCTCCCACTTCTACTGAGATGAGCACCTTCTTCATTCTCCTCTTTTGCTAATTACATATCTGTTCTTTTTTGCAGTGCTAGATGCTTCCATCACTGCGCTGCTGTGAAGTTCCTCCTGCACCAAGGGCACCAATGCTTTTGACTCACCCCTCTCCATCTTCAGCTGCCTTAGGCTCTGCCTGCCTCCTGAAATCACATACTGATTTCTACACCCTTCTTTTCAATTTCTCCCTGCTTTTGCTTCTCCTGTGAAACACTCACTGCGTGTGAACCTCAAGCATTGTGATGGAAATCAGACTGGGCAGTATTTATGGACAGTGATTCTCCTGCATCAAGAACTATGWGCAAGGAATTCATGCGGTTCAGATAAATCATCACAGAGATAAATGAAAATATAGATGCAAGCTTTTGCAGAGAGCTGCATACAAGGCTAAAAGAAGTGGTAAACATGACTGAAGGAAAAGTAAAAAAGGGATAGCAGAAAGATGAAGGCTACAGAGTATCTGGACCTTATAAGAAGTAAAGCAGAGAAAAGGACTAGCAGGCAGCTCTATCATTTTGATAGGTGCTCTGCAGGAGAGATGTTCCAGAGACAGCTTGCTTCTCTACAGACAAAGGAGCAAAATTAACATGCCTAACATTTGCTAGCTACCTTGGGCTCGCCTTGTCTAGCTAGGAGAACCTCTACTGAAGCTTGTTAACATACAGAGACTGACCTGGGCGGCTGTGGTGGTTCATGTACAGGACTGAATTTTGCTTTTTTTGATGATACCACCCTCTAACCAAGYTCACAAATCATCTGATGCTGATGGCTGAAGTGAGCAATGCAGTTTTAAAACAGAAAGAATACTTTCTCCAGAACTTCTTATTCTCTCACTTCAACCCTTGGGCCAGCATAGAGGAATGAATCAGCCCCAAATTATTACACTTTGAAACCATTAACAAGGCCACTTCTGTAAGGAACAGCTAATAGGCTTATCCTGAGCACAGGCCACAGAAAAAGAATTTAATTTCTCTTACACAAACTGTATCATAGATCAGATGCTGGGAGACAGAGATACTTTAGCACTACTGCTTGATATACGATTCTGTCATTTACTTACGGAAAGTCATCAAGAGCTAACTTTAGCAATCCTCCTCTGTCAGGACATGCTGAAGCTCAGAGTCCTGGGCATACTTTCTAGCAAAGTTTTGCATAGTTCAGCTTCATATGATTTTGAAAGATGCTGTTCCTTGAGCAGGGCCAGGAAATGGGAGGTTACTTTTGAACGACAGGACTTAACCCCCTTTTCCCTGTGATATACTCTACCTGTTAAATGAGTATAATGCTAGGTGACCTCAGAGAAGTGCTGTGAAAACCAAAGAATATATACATATGAAGCACTTGGAGATTTTGCAAGGAACAGCGATAGGGATGTATAAAACTTTACTATTCTTAGCGATTTCCTAAGCTTCTCCTGGACAGTTTTTCAGACGGATGTTATGGGCGGGCAGCGGTGCAGCGTGAGAAGAGGAGCTTTACCTGGTACAGCTCTATGCGCTGCTCCGACACGCGCGCCTTCGAGTTCTGCAGCCGGAACACTCGGAACTCGGCCTTCACCAGGTTGGAAGCGTTCTTCTCCATCGCTGACACATCGAATCTCACAATTCTGAAGTAAAGGCTGTAATAGCTCGGTGGGATGGCATCTGCAACAAGTCAGCATGATTTTTCTTTTAATAATAAAATATATTTTTCTTTCAAACACTGTAATACAAGACGGCCTCGGGAACCAGTGAGGGAAATATCTGTAGCATGATTCAGTTTCCAATGGCCAATTTAATATTATTAACAGTTTAATCTCCTCAAAAAAATAACCCACATGTGTTTGATTACAGGAAGAGCACATTAATAGAAATTAACAACTGTTTCCAACTGACTTCAAGGTGTATATTTAACTCTGAATTTTCAATGGACTGGTGGAAAATCCTGCACACTCCTAAACTGGAAAAGATTCCTAAAGGTTGGAATCTGTCAGATGCTTCAGACTTGCACATAGTTAATCAGATCTGCTAAAAAGACAAATGTAACTGCAGATCATGTATGTTCCCTGAATCCCATTCTCTCCTTCTCCCTCCCCTGAATTTGGAGTACAAATGAAGTATGAATTAGAGAGCTTCAGATTTCATTATCAGATTTCATTATCTATTTATTAACAGAAGAATTTTAGCAGAATAAAATAATTATTCTAATAACTAGAGCAGGAAGGAAAAGGCACAAACAGAATTACATTCATTTGGATTACCAGGGAGCAGTAAAAGTCACAAAGGTAACAACCCTTATTTACATATGGGGGCAAGGCGGAAAAAAACAGTTGGAAAAAAACAAAACCAAGTCTCCAATAAAGCCTTTAAAAACAGGCTTCAGTTTAGATTTCAAAACAGTCTCCTCTTTCTTTCCAACTGTACATGCTGACTGAGTTACTTAAGCAGCAGAGCGCCTGTGTGTAATCCCAATTATCCGACTGGGTTCGGTGACTATCTCGGGCTGTTCCACCTCATCCTGGCCGAAATCCCACACAGAAAACCGTGCGCGGGGCCGCTGACTCTGCTCCCGCCCTGGGACACTCTCCACACCCTCTTGTTTGGCAAGAGGTTCCTCAAGCTGCGAGGGGGCAAAAAGGAAGCCAAAGCTGGGATGAACCGCAAGGACTCACAGGGCCTGGTAACATCTCTGTTCAAGCTCGTGGGAAGCCTTCCTCTTCCCTTGCGTTTTTAAAAGAAAAATGTTTATAGGAGTGGGAGAAAGAGGAAAATTTGATATATTGCTCTTAGCAAGGCAGCAGCTCCAGGCAATATGAAGCAGCACTACTCGTGGTAACACATTTGATAGGGAGGTTGCTGCAGCTCTTCAAATAAGTTTTTCTAGGCTTAGACTGACTGCAGAGCAAGTACCAACTACAAGGCAGCCAAAAGAAGAAAAAAGTAAAGTATTTATTCTGTCTTTGCAATACTCAAGAAAGACAGAAAATGATCAGAGGGGAACACTCCTAAAATAATCCCAGATAAGACAAAATCCGCAGACAATAAAGGACAAGCTTAGAGCTCAACCCTAGATGCACTGTGAGAGAAGACAAGACATCAAAATGCTTAAAAAGGCTGCTGAAAATGTGCTTCCCAAAGGAGATCCTCAGTACGGGCAGAAGTGTGTGAGGTACAAATATGAACAGGAAATCCCACGCTTCCTTACAGTCCGCTTTAATTAATAATAATAAAGAAGTGTTCTCAAATTTCCACACCTGCAGTGATTTAAAGTAAACTGCATCATGATCAGTATTCTTGACTATGAGGCTTATAGACACTTTTTTGTTGTTGTTGTTACAATCTTATAATGAGAATACAAAGAAGAACATACCAGAATTGTTCTACTAAAGCTCAAGAGTATTAGTTTCTCTCTCAAAATACTCACTGAAGGTCTTCTAAGAAAAGCTTAACCTTTAAGGGTCATCTTAATTTGGACTGATTCTGAAAATTTTAATAAAAGCTATTTAGTTCAGATATTATATCCTCATTTAAAAAAATAGTCTTAAATTTATTCTTCTGCTATAGGAAGCTATGCGTACCACTTGTTCTTCAGCCAAACCTAATCCTACTAAGAATATAATTTGACATAATAATATGTGTATATGTATATATATATGATTTATGTTTCCAGGATGAGTTTTAAGTTGTCCTTCCCTGTCATTTATTTGAGGCATCAGCCTACAATTGCAGGCTGATGAGCACTTTCCCTGGCACACACAAACCCTGTTCATCTTTACTGTATTTCATATTCAGAAAATTGTATTTAATCATGTTTGATTTAAATTGAGCTTCTGAGTTATTTCCACAGATTTCTTACAGATCTCTTTGCAGGGCTGTATTTTTTTTCAACTTCTCTATCTTAGATGAGATTGGATCAGATTTAGATATACATTCACAGATTTCTGCGTATTAGGAATCTGTGAATGTGTATCCGAATGGATTTTCCTACTTCACCTTCGCATTTATATCTTTTCTCTATTTATTGTGTAAAGAACATAGAAAGAGAAGAAAATGCATACTGTGACAATGACTGTGTTTTTGCGTTCATGTATGTCCATTCACGTATACAATGAACAAATGTCTACTTTCCATGGGAAGGAAGGTATGGAAACCCAACAAGTCGACAGGAATGAATTCTTAACCTACAGAAGTTTCTTCTCCTATAAGATAAGTTTCACTTCTCCTGAAAACATAAGAAATCTGATTTACTTACTCTGTCATCCACAACAGTATCCATAGGAAGACAATTCAGTAAGAGGTCTTATTCATACATAGCTAATAAATAAATAAATAAATAAATAAATAGCCTTTCTACTGACTGGAGCCCTTCATTTGTAAGAATGGCTGACTGCAGAATTGGGATTTACATGAAACTTAATCAACATCAAGATGGAGACCTTTATCGAGTTTACAAGGTTTTAGATTAGCCTTTAAGTGATTTCAGATGATGTAATTTATATCTTTTTGTGACTCCACCTCAACCTGACACTTGTATCAATTCAGACTCAGTTGGACACGTCTGGGCTCCCCTCTGATTCTGGCCCAGTGATTTCAGTAGGTGTCAGCTTAACTTTGACCAATCTAGCCTGCAAACATAGTTATGCTGTTACAGAGCAGAGTCCTTAAGTATTCTTTGAAAGATTATCACTAATGAGTGGAATTAAATCAATATGTTTCCCGTAGCTAAGAAAACATAATTTTCTTTTGTTTTGGGGAGAGGGAATAGCAAAAGCAATCAAACATTTCATCTTTATTGTCTTTAAATTATTCATCAATCCAATCTCAAATCACTGAAGACTTCCAGCTGTAATAATCCTAGTCACAACCACCACAGTAAATTTGAGACAACAGGTAGAAAACAGAGTTGGAGAAGGTGAAACCAGCATCCCTCTATGTCCCTTCAGCCCAACAGCTCACCACTCTCACCACTCATTCAAGATATGAGCATCCTGGGACAAGCTTTTCTCTTGTTCTTCTCCTCGAACAAGCTCTGTTCCCCATGCCCAGGTTAAAAGGTGGCATGTGGATGTCCTCAGCTGACGGCTAAGGGCAGTGTGGTTGCTGAGCCTCTGACTCACTCTGCCCCGTGCGGTGGAGAGGCTGAAACCCAGGCACCTTCTGTGCTAACAGTGAGGACAGGGAGCAGTTGTGTGCCCGTGCAGCCGGAGGGATGCAGGGAGCCTCTCCAAAACATGGAGCAGTGCAGCCTGCAGCGTGATACCTGCCCTGAGTTTTGCTCCTATTAATCCTTCTGCAGGACGGAACAGTGTCAACAGGAAAGACTAACCACATCCTGCGGCCTGTGGCCCAAAATAGCGTGCAGACACCTGGGCCTGGCTCCTGGCGGGAGAGAGCAACGGAGAGAAGTTCCCTTAAGGAGAGGGGGAACCAAAGTGGAGTTGTTTCACCTGAGGGATATTCCCCCAAGTCAGAGATCTCCTCCCAAGAAAGGATGACACTTTTGCTTTCACCAGTCGTGTCTGATGAGCTAAGCCTTTCATTCCAACTGCTTTTCTCACAAGTACCGAGTGTACTGACATTTCAAGAGAAACAAAACATTGTCTGACACAGTACTTTTAGGATTTGGGCTTTGTTTCTGGCAAGAAGAAAAAAAGAAAAGATGTAAATTCAGCTGTATCCAAACTAGGGCCTTCCACCCTGAATTTTCATTTCTGCTATTGACTCAAAAAAAAAAAAAACTAATGATATGCACAGCACTAGTTAGGAAATGTAAACAACTTTTCTGTTCTTGCTGGAAGAAGCGAGACAGGCCGACTTCACACATACACCCACACTGGAAAGGCTGAGAGCTCCATCCTAATCCTTCCATCAAGGGCTCGTAATAAATGCTCCAGAGATTTATTTTTATTTCCTTTTGTGTTTATTAAACTTTGGAGGGTTTCTTTTCCTTTTTCTTTTCTCTCTGGTGTTTTGCCCATTCTTTATTACAGCAGCTACAAAACATGGAGTGTCCTTTTTTTTTTTCCCTCTCCATCTTTTTTCTCCTCATCTTCTTTCTGACTGCAGTACATGAATGACCATGTAGTAGGCTTTGAAGCAGCACATGCAAATATTTATAAGAGTAGCTTGATTGTTATTAAATGCAGTTGTTATGCTTTCTATGCTCTGGCAAGCTTCCCTAAACCCTGTAACTATTAGGACCATTTAGGCCTGTTTAGATTTCAAGTCACTGATAGCAAATCCTACTTTTTTTTTTTTTTTTGAACAAACAGCAGCCCTTTGCATAACATGACATTGTTTCTTCCCTGGCTCTCTGATCAACATATGGGTTCTTGTCATGAGCCTGGCCTCACATCCCTTTAATGACATCAAAATGTGGTAAGCGAAGCCGCATGCTCAACATCATGGAAGGAAGGACAACTTGCAAGCCGAAACTGTTCATCTTTTCCGTAGGATCCTGTCCTGTCCGTCACAGCTGGGTCACAAATCCTCTTCGCTTTTCCAAGAACTTAGAAACTTGCCTAAACCATCTGATTCCCAGAGTTCACGGACAGTTTCTGTGCTAACCCTCCCGCCCCTGACACAGCTACAGAATCATGCTGGAAACAGGCTCTCTGGAAGGACAGTGCACACAGTGAACCGCATTACAGAGGCCTACAGGTTAT